CCTGCACTCCATCAAGGGACACGTCCCCGTCGAGCTCGCGCTCGACACCGGCGTTCACCGTCAATGGCGCACCTTCTTCCGCGCCGCTTGCCGCAAGTACGCCCTCCTGGATCATCTCGACTTTGATGCCCCCGACGCGCCGAACCCAGAGTGGTCTCTCCTCGACGCCACCGTCATCTCTTGGCTCTATGGGTCTGTCTCGCTCAGCATCCTCGACGCCGTCATGACGCTCGGTGATGATCCCCTCGCCGTCGATCTCTGGAACAGCATCAACGGTCTCTTCAATGACCACAAGATCAATCGTAAGCTCCACCTCACGGCCAAGCTCGGCGATCTGAAGATGGGAGAGATGAGCATGGCCGACTACCTTCAGAAGGTCAAATCCCTCTCCGATGGGCTTACGGATCTTGGCGCCCCCGTTGATGACGCTGAGATGGTGGTACACTGCCTCAACGGCCTCTCCGAGCAATACGAGGCCGCTGCTGATCTCATCTCCCTCATGCCGGGCATGACCTTCGTGCAGTGCCGCTCGTTGCTCGCGCTCCAGGACATGAAGCGCAAAAATCGCCGCGCCCGCAACTCAGACACGGCCCTCTTCACCAACACCGCCGGCAACCCTGGCAACACCGGCAATCCTGGCAAGGCCTCTGGAAAAGGGAAGAAGAAGAAGAAGGCCGCCGCTGGCGTCTCCAAGGAGATCATCCCGGCGCCCGCGACCCCGCTGGCTGCCACTCCCTCCTGGCCTTCACCACAGCACCCCTGGAACGGTGCCATCCAGATGTGACCCTATGGCCAGGGGGGCCTGCTCGGCCATGCGCCGCCCTCCTACGCCCCAGCTCCCGGCTACGCGCCCCGGCACACCCCGTCGCCGCATGCGTTCTACGCCCAGAACCCGTACGGCCTTGCCCCCTACGGTTACGGCTACACCCCTGGACAGTCCTCCTACGGTCCGGCTCCATCATCACCGGCATCACCAACTGCTTCGTGGGACCAAGCCGCGCTCATGCATCAGTTCCAGACCATGGGGCTGCAAGCACCCACCAGGGAGTGGGTGATGGACACCGGCGCCTCCTCCCACTTCGCGTCCGATCCCGGTATGCTCAACTCCATGTCTCCCCCCTCCTCCTCTCGGCGTGCTGTCGTTGTCGGTAACGGTTCCACCCTTCCGATCACCGGTACCGGGCATGCACATCTTCCTATTTCCACCACCTCTCGTCCTCTTTACCTTCGTAATGTCTTAGTAGTTCCTAACATAGTTAAAAACCTTTTGTCAGTTCGTCAATTCACCATTGATAATCGTGTATCCGTCGAATTTGACCCCCTCGGTTTTTCTGTGAAGGATCTTCTAACCAGGACCGAGATTCTCAGATGCAATAGCTTCGGAGCCCTTTACTCCATCCATCCTTCCACTGCCAGTCAGCCACACGCCTTCCTCGTCACCGATGCAGCACTCTGGCACCGTCAGCTAGGGAACCCTGGGCGGCCCGTTATGGAGTCATTAGCTCGTTCTTCGATCATCCCTAGGGAAAAGAATAAAAGTAGTTTGTGTCATGCTTGTCAGTTAGGTCGTCATGTTCGTCTTCCTTTTTCTTCTACCAATCGTGTAACCACTACTCCTTTTCAGATAATTCACTGTGATTTGTGGACATCTCCTGTTGAGAGTATTTCTGGCTTTAAGTATTATCTCGTTTGTCTTGATGATTTTACTCAGTATGCATGGGTTTATCCTCTTCGGTCTAAGTCAGAAGCTTTCTCGCACTTGTCGTCCCTTCATGCTTTAGCGCTCACCCAGTTTAGTGCACGCTTGCAGGCTATTCAGTGTGATAATGGTCGTGAGTTCGATAATTCACTCCTCCATTCCTTTGCCCAGCACCATGGAGTTGCACTCCGCTTTTCATGTCCATACACTTCGCAACAGAATGGTAAAGCCGAACGCATTATTCGTACTCTTAATGACATTACTCGTACACTCCTTATCCAAGCTAGTATGCCACCTCGCTTTTGGGTTGAAACTCTTCACACCGCCGTTATGTTGCATAATCGGCTGCCTTCCAAGGCAATCTCGGATCGTATTCCCTTTCGTGCCTTACTTGGCGTAGATCCTGCATATGCTGGTCTTTGGGTTTTCGGATGTCTATGTTACCCTAACACCACAGCCGTCGCTCCGCACAAGCTTGCGCCTCGCTCCGTGCCATGCGTGTTTCTAGGGTACCCATCACGGCATCATGGCTATCGTTGCCTTGATCGTTCAACCCAAAAGATCTTCGTCTCTCGTCATGTAGTGTTCGATGAGTCCACCTTTCCCTTCGCCTTCCCTACATCTTCGTCAACTCCTACTCCTTCCCTGCACACTTATGATTTTTTGCAGGGAGCTGAGCAGCCGGTTTCGTCGATGCCATTCACCGTGCCAGGCATGGTGACCCCGGATGCGACTACACCGTCGCCGCCACGGTCGCCATCGCCGTCGCCACGGTCCTCTCCACGGTCGCCGCCACCGACTTCGCCTCGGTCGCCGCCACCGACCTCGCCCCGGTCGCCTGGGTCCCGGGCCACTGCCGAGAGCCCTGATGGGAGCTCTGATGGCGACCCTGCTGGGAGTCCTTCTCCTACTACAGCCGCGTCACCACCGGCAACGCCGTCGCCAGCTCCTGTAGCTACGGATCCACCCCGGACCCGCCGGCCGCGGGCCCCTCCACCGCCTCCATCTCATGCCATGGCCACTCGTGCTAAACAGGGCATTGTGAAGCCCAAAAAGATATTTGATCTTCATGTTGAGGGTTTATCTCCCATACCGAAGACATATCGTGGTGCTCTCAAGGATCCTAATTGGCATTTCGCTATGGTTGAGGAGTATGGTGCTCTTCTCTCCAACAACACTTGGGACCTCGTTGATCCACCTCGCAATGCTAATATTGTTACTGGTAAGTGGATCTACCGTCACAAGATGAAGTCTGATGGTTCTTTGGATCGCTACAAGGCTCGTTGGGTGCTTCGTGGATTTACTCAGCGCGAAGGTATCGATTTTGATGAAACTTTCAGCCCGGTTGTCAAGCCAGCCACTATTCGTACGGTGCTCTCTATTGCTCTCTCCAGTGACTGGTCCATCCACCAACTTGATGTCAAGAATGCATTCCTCAATGGAACTCTCATCGAGATTGTTTATGCTCGCCAGCCTTCTGGGTTCACTGATCCTCGTTTCCCTGACAAGGTTTGTCGTCTCAACAAATCACTCTATGGTTTGAAACAGGCGCCTCGTGCATGGTTTCAGCGGTTTGCCTCGTTCATTGCATCGGCTGGTTTCATTGGCTCCAAGTCTGACAGCTCGCTGTTCGTTTATCGGCGTGGTGCTGACATGGCCTATCTCCTGCTCTATGTGGATGACATTATCCTGACTGCATCATCCTCGACATTGTTGCACAGTTTGATTGCCACTCTTCGTACCGAATTCAGTATGACGGATATGGGCGATCTTCATTATTTTCTGGGCATCTCTGTCACCCGCAGCAAGGACAGTCTGTTCCTCTCACAGGAGAAGTATGCATTGGATCTTCTTGACAGAGCTGGCATGTTGCAGTGCAAACCCATCTCTACTCCAGTTGATACTACCTCCAAACTTTCAGCCAAGTCCAGTGATCCCGTTGCAGATCCCACCGAGTATCGTAGTATTGCAGGCGGTCTTCAGTACCTCACGTTCACTCGGCCGGATATCTCTTATGCTGTGCAGCAGATTTGTCTTCATATGCATGATCCTCGGGCTAATCGTTTGCTACTTGTGAAGCGTGTGCTTCGCTATATCCGCGGCACCACCGGCCATGGCCTCACTTTGTTTCGACGCAGCTCCAACAAATTGCTGGCCTACTCTGACGCTGATTGGGCAGGTTGCCCTGACACTCGCCGGTCTACCTCAGATTATTGTGTCTTCCTTGGCAATAACCTGGTGTCGTGGTCTGCTAAGCGGCAGCACACGGTCTCTCGGTCCAGCGCCGAGGCCGAATACAGGGCAGTTGCAAATGTCGTGGCTGAAACATGTTGGTTACGGCAGCTTTTTCAGGAGCTTCATCGACCGGTGACTGGTGCCACTGTGGTGTTTTGTGATAATGTGAGCTCTGTTTACATGACACAGAATCCCGTTCATCATCAGCGCACCAAGCACGTGGAGATCGATTTGCACTTTGTGCGCGACCGTGTCACCACAGGCGAGGTCCGGGTTCTTCACGTTCCGAGTTCTTCACAATTTGCGGACATTTTCACCAAAGGATTGCCATCCCCTCTCTTCTTGGATTTTCGGGACAGTCTTAACATTCGTGGACGCCCGTTTACGACTGAGGGAGGGTGTTAGAATATATAACCGTATTCTGTGTATAGATATACGGTTGTATATGTGTAGTCCTTGTATAGGTGTCCGTATATTGTACGATACGAACTCTGCCTTGTAACCTGTATATATTGATCAATACAAGGCACCACAACGTGTGGTTTCCCCAATCTTACAAGCAGCTCAAGAAGCTATATCACCTCTAACTTAGCTAATCTCTTTGTTTTAGGTCTTTTCTATATGATCCAAACAATCGAGCGAACCGAGTTCTTAGATAGTTGAAGTCTTTGTGATGGAATCAATCCACCTAGGTTTGAGTGATATGCTTAGCATGGGTGCTCGCATTTTTTTTGAATTTATTTCATGCTTACCGACAATTTCTGTCCAGTTGAGAGATGCCATTACATCGACATGGTTACTTTTTCAGCGACGTAACATTAGCTCGAAACCACTTTTGTTTTGGGTAAGGGTTTAGCGATACCAGCATTTATTTAGACTCAAAGCTCCAAATTCAGAGGTTTGGCAATCCAGGACCAATCTACTAGCCGATTTTCGAATGAATTTTTTTTGCCAACATATCACTTTTTTTTTCTCGATAGCTGAGGGACAAACGGTCACTTGCCACTCCAGTTGGGACAGAGCATCGGGTCTTGGCCATTTTCCCCCTTTCCCAATCCCCCCGACCATGTCTTCGGCGACGCAGCAGCAGCCGCCACCGGCGGCGCCGCCGTACCGGCCATACCGGCAGGTGCGCGCGGCGACCCCGCACACCCGCGCCATCTCCTGCGTGCGGTTCTCCCCCTGCGGGCGCCTCCTAGCGACGGCCTCCCTCGACGGCACGGTCGCCCTCCTCTCCCCGTCCTCGCTCGCCGTCATCGCCAACCTGCGCGGCCACACCCAGGGCGTCTCCGACCTGTCCTGGAGCACGGACTCGAATTACCTCTGCTCCGCGTCCGACGACCGCACCCTCCGCATCTGGGACATCCGATCCATCCTCTCCGGCCCCAAGCCCGCCGACCCCAACGCCGATCGCTGCATCCGCGTGCTCAAGGGCCACACAAACTTCGTCTTCAGTGCCAACTTCAATCCGCAGACCAGCTCCCAGGTCGCCTCGGGGGGGTTCGACTGCACCGTGCGCATCTGGGACGTCAGCAGCGGCCGCTGCATCCGCACCATCGACGCGCACTCTGAGCCCGTCACCTCCGTCCACTTCATCCGGGACGGATCGATCATTGTGTCAGGGAGCCATGATGGGAGCTGCAAGATTTGGGATGCGGGAACTGGCTCTTGTCTCAAGACAGTCATTGACGACGACAAGAAGCCAGCGGTTTCCTGCTCAATGTTCTCACCGAATGGCAAGTTCATCCTCGTCGCTACGCTCGATGACTCACTGGTATGACCAATTGACTGCTATTTCATAAGTACTCCGCTATTTCATAAGTACTCCCTCCGTTCCTAAATATAAGTCTTTGTAGAGATTTTACTATGAACTACATACGGATGTATATAGATGCATTTTAAGTGTGGATTCATTCATTTTGCTCCGTATGTAGTCCACCTAGTGGAATCTCTACAAAGACTTACATTTAGGAACGGAGGGAGTATCATTTAACCATCACGCTGTTGAGGCTCATGTGTAAGCCTCTTAGGCCTTAGTTAGTGTTCAGCGCAAACCACTTTCAGTTTGTTGGATGGTGTACAAATCACACAATTTTAGCTCATCGCGCAGCACTAGTTCAGATAATATTCATTGTTCTTTGATGTCAAGGTCACTTCGATATATTTTGATCTTGGTACAGTGATTGATTGCAGGCTTTAGCTAGGTTCTAGTCCAATTTTCGGTTGCAACTTACCTCAACTTGACAGTGAATGAAAACCCTGCTCAGTTCTTAAAATTCAGTTCAAGGGTCCACCCACATGTTTTTTTTCCTCGAATAGGTCCACCCACATGTTGACAAGGATATTGTATCTGAGGCTGTGGGTTTGAAGACATTATTCCCTTCAAAGTTATATGCACAATATCAGAACCGCTCACCTGATATGGAATTCAAATGAAAAATATAGTATCACACTTGGCAGTGGATGAAATTATAAAACTCCATCTCAATTCAAATTTCGATCTCTGAAGTTCAAAATAACAGCGCTCATTGCACATTTAGGCTCTTCGGCCAAATGGTGCTCGTCCATTTAACTGTCTCTGAAGGTGATTTTAGCACGTTTGGTTCTCACATAGTTGCTACTTTTGCACCAACAGAAGTATGGTTTACCAAACGATCAAGTTTCCATTCTTTTGGGGCATTGTGGTAAGCCCATGTTTTCAACTTACATGTCTGAATAGAATTGAGGAGCTGGGGCTCTATATGTTTCAAGTTACATGAGTTTATTTACACTTATCTACTAACTTCATGCCAAACCCCATGTTCTTGTTATGTTTGCAATCTCCATATTGTGATGAGCCTGTACATTGTCAGCAACTTCTCATTCATCTTTGTCATGCCACAAGGATGATTTGGCTGTTGCAAATTGCAATAGGCATGTCATATGTTCATGCTGTTGGAATCTTTTCCCCGTCTCCTACAACATGACTTGGTGTGAACTCCACACAATCTGCACGACTTTATTTCCAAGCTTTGCTGTCTCTTCTTTATAACTTCTTGTCCAACTTCTTCGCAGACTTACTGTTACCATTGGTCTCCACCTTCTTCCAATTTTTTTTTGAACTGAACCTTCTTCCAAATTCAAAGTGTCACACATCATTACATACAATTTCTTATGAATGCTGTAAGCCCTACAGTCCAACTGGCACACCTGATGTTTGAGAATGTTAAATTTTTGTATAGATACATCTTGGAAGGTGTATCAATAACATAGAAGAGGAGGGTTAAGAGGACGATACAACACCAATAGAGGTTCGGCAGCATTGCTAACCCTAGGTTAGCTGCAAACCTGAACAACCACATGCCGGTGCCTCAATCTGGCAGCCATAAGCATCCCCACAGAGCAATCCAGCTTTGCTCCATTGAGCTCCTTCCAAGCGAGTTGAGTGCACCCGGGCCCTCATGGAAGATCGACGGCCATTGAACAACACATCGTTTCGATGGAGCCAAATCATCCAGAAGGTGAGGATAATTTTCTTTTGAGGGACAGACGGTGAGGATAATGGTCGTGCATAGGTTCCGCAAGCCAACCACTTTACCAGACCACCATTCAATGATGTCAGCCTTGTGGTCTGGGATCCACTTGGGTCTCGGCCTCTCGGGCTTGCCCCAGCTATTGAGCATCAAAGTCCACACCTCGTATGCCACCACACAGTCGAGGATCAAATGGGTGTTTGCTACATTTCTCAAGGAGGCCTCTCATGCCTATGGCTATTACATTTTACCATAAAGATTGCCAGTTTTCTGTGACTGACTTTTAAATCTCAGGATGCGCCATGACTTGCAACTAAACATTGTTGCAAATTGCTTCTCAAAACTATTATTTGCATTTTTTCTTTAAATGGAAACAATATGCTAGCAATCACCATTGTTTAAACGTTGTTGGGCCTATCTTTTCGAAACTCCATGTTTACTAGAAATGTGCTTACTAAGTGCCTCCCACCTTCCTTTGCAGAAACTATGCAACTATGCTACTGGCAAGTTCTTGAAGGTATATAGTGGACATGTGAACAGAGCATACTGCATCCAGTCTGCGTTTTCCGTCACGAACGGGAAGTACATTGTTAGTGGGTCGGAAGATAAATGCATATACATATGGGACCTCCAAGGGAAAAACATTCTTCAGAAAATGGAAGGCCATACCGACGCTGTCATCTCGGTGTCATGTCATCCAACAGAGAACAAAATTGCTTCTGGCAGCCTTGATAATGACAAGACTGTGAGACTCTGGGTCCAAGATGGCTGATGAATATGCAGAGGAGAGGATAGGTAGACCTGTGTGTACTCTATGTAGAACGAACCTATGCAGCAGCAAGTGGCATCTCAAAGAGAAACTTGCTGCTGTGTTCCATGGGCCGCTCCTGGTGGTATGTCAACCTGGAGGTTTTACTTAACTTAGGCTTGCACTGCTTTGTTTTAATACGAGTTGTTCCTCTTCGAGGTTCCGAGTCTCAACAGATGAGTTGGTCTCCTAATGTTGAGATGTGTTTGTTTGGTGCCCGACGGCTGCTGTAAGGTGCCAGATTTGGACCTCTTTGTTCACGAGATTGCAGTGCGACCGGCAGTTAATAAAAGCATTGCAATGCTGGCAGTTTTTAGGGTTAATGGATAAACATATGTCATCAGTAAGATTCAGTATGGTGACTGCACATCATGTATAAATGGATACTGATGTTTTGTTGATTCTTAGTAGGTGTCAATCTGCCGAGCTGGGATTATGGCCTCACTTGAGCTTGCGGTATGGCCTCATGGCTGTGAACCTAGCGTGAGCTTAGCTTGATCAAACTTGCTTGGCTCAACGTGTGACGGTCATATATAGATCAAACATGGCTTGACAACACATGGATGGTAAATGAAATCTATCATTAGTACTAAAGCAAAACCAGGGCTGAAAAAGAACTAAACGCTCGAATCCATTATATATTGATTTTGAAAAATGTTCAATGTTTCCGCAAAGTCAATGTTTGCAATCGGCAATGAACTAGCAATTCCGGTATAGTAAGCAGCATTAATCAACTGAGCATCGACCATTGAGTAGCAATTCCGGTATAGTTAAGCAGCATCGTAAGCAACTGAGCATCAACCGTAGAGTAGCAATTCTAGCATAACTAAGAAGCGTCATAGGGAATTCAACATCACTTTTGGCAACCCATATTGCACGGATGTTCATAGCCGGCGACGGCCACCGCGACGCAGGCGCAGTGCCGGGCGTTGACGTCAGTTGGAAAGTGATTTCCTTGATTGATTCTGTTTACACCACCGAGTATACATAGGGAGAGAAAGTTCCTAGAGATATGGCACGCGGGCCCTTAGATCCTACAATCTAGGATCGTTACAACGTGCCAGTTAATGTTACAAGTGGTACAAAAATATACAACTTAACACCCCCCTCAGCCGGAACTCCATTAGGAAGGATGTTCAGGCTGGATCGAAAGTCGGTGAACAACGGCGAAGGCAGACCCTTGGTGAAGATGTCGGCATATTGGGAGCTGGATGGCACATGCAAGACTCGTACTTCGCCAAGAGCAACGTGATCCCGAACAAAGTGTAGATCAATCTCAATGTGCTTGGTCTGTTGATGCTGAACCGGATTGCTCGCAAGGTAAGAAGCACTGATGTTGTCACAATACACCACGGTGGCACGTGTGGGTGGAACCTTGAGCTCATGGAGAAGTTGCCGGAGCCAACAAGATTCAGCCACACAATTGGCAACACCACGATATTCAGCCTCGGCACTGGATCGTGAGATGGTGGGCTGCCTCTTTGATGACCATGAGATGAGATTTGCTCCAAGGAACACACAAAAACCGGAGGTGGACTTGCGTGTGTCCGGACACCCTGCCCAATCGTCATCGGTGTAGGCAATGAGATCCCGTGAGGGAGAACGAAAAAGCTGAAGGCCATAATGGGAGGTGCCCTGTAAGTATCGTAGAATGCGCTTCACAAGCTGCATGTGTATGTCGCGAGGGGCATGCATGAATAAGCAAGCTTGTTGGACAACATATGTGATGTCGGGGCGCGTGAGGGTGAGGTATTGTAGTGCGCCGGTGATGCTACGATAGTGAGTGGGATTGGAGAGGAGATGGCCTTCGTGGGAGGATAGTTTAGAGCTCGTGCCAACCGGTGTGGAAACGGGCTTACAATTGATCATGTTGGCGCGTTCAAGAAGCTCTAGTGTGTACTGTTGTTGGCATAGGAAGAGGCCGGATTGGTTGGTGGTGATGTTGGGGAACGTAGCAGAAATTCAAAAATTTTCCTACATAACACCAAGATCTATCTATGGAGAGACCAGCAACGAGTAGAAAGGGGAGTGCATCTACATACCCTTGTAGATCGCTAAGCGGAAGCGTTCAAGTGAACGGGGTTGATGGAGTCGTACTCGTCGTGATTCAAATCACCGATGATCAAGTGCCGAACGGACGGCACCTCCGCGTTCAACACACGTACAGCCCGGTGACGTCTCCCACGCCTTGATCCAGCAAGGAGAGAGGGAGAGGTTGAGGAAGACTCCATCCAACAGCAGCACAACGGCGTGGTGGTGGTGGAGGAGCGTGGCAATCCCGCAGGGCTTCGCCAAGCACCATGGGAGAGGAGGAGGAGGGAGAGGGGCAGGGCTGCACCAACGAGAGATCAAATCGCGTGTTATGGGCAGCCCCTAGGCCTCATATATATAGGGGAAGGGGAGGGCTGCGCCCCCTTTAGGGTTTCCCACCCCAAGGGGCGGCGGCCAGCCTCCAGATGGCATCTGGTGCGGCGGCCAAGAGGGGGGAGGAGTCCATCCTCCCCAAGGCACCTCGGAGGTGCCTTCCCCCTTGAGGACTCTTCCCTCTAGGGTTCCCTAGGCGCATGGGCCTCTTGGGGCTGGTGCCCTTGGCCCATGTAGGCCAAGGCGCACCCCCTACAGCCCATGTGGCCCCCCGGGGCAGGTGGCCCCACCCGGTGGGCCCCCGGGACCCTTCCGGTGGTCCCGGTACAATACTGATGACCCCGAAACTTGTCCCGATGGCCGAAACAGGACTTCCTATATATAAATCTTTACCTCCGGACCATTCCGGAACTCCTCGTGACGTCCGGGATCTCATCCGGGACTCCGAACAACATTCGGTAACCACATACAAGCTTCCTTTATAACCCTAGCGTCATCGAACCTTAAGTGTGTAGACCCTACGGGTTCGGGAGACAAGCAGACATGACCGAGACGTTCTCCGGTCAATAACCAACAGCGGGATCTGGATACCCATGTTGGCTCCCACATGTTCCACGATGATCTCATCGGATGAACCACGATGTCAAGGACTCAATCGATCCCGTATACAATTCCCTTTGTCTAGCGGTATTTTACTTGCCCGAGATTCGATCGTCGGTATACCGATACCTTGTTCAATCTCGTTACCGGCAAGTCACTTTACTCGTTCCATAACACATCATCCCGTGATCAACTCCTTGGTCACATTGCGCATATGATGATGTCCTACCGAGTGGGCCCAGAGATACCTCTCCGTTTACACGGAGTGACAAATCCCAGTCTCGATCCGCATAAAACAATAGATACTTTCGGAGATACCTGTAGTGCACCTTTATAGTCACCCAGTTACGTTGTGACGTTTGATACACCCAAAGCACTCCTACGGTATCCAGGAGTTACACGATCTCATGGTCAAAGGAAGATATACTTGACATTGGCAAAGCTCTAGCAAACGAACTACACGATCTTTGTGCTATGCTTAGGATTGGGTCTTGTCCATCACATCATTCTCCTAATGATGTGATCCCGTTATCAACGACATCCAATGTCCATAGTCAGGAAACCATGACTATCCGTTGATCACAACGAGCTAGTCAACTAGAGGCTCACTAGGGACATATTGTGGTCTATGTATTCACACGTGTATTACGATTTCCGGATAATACAATTATAGCATGAATAAAAGACAATTATCATGAACAAGGAAATATAATAATAATACTTTTATTATTGCCTCTAGGGCATATTTCCAACAGTCTCCCACTTGCACTAGAGTCAATAATCTAGTTCACATCGCCATGTGATTAACACTCACAGGTCACATCGCCATGTGACTAATACCCAAGAGTTTACTAGAGTCAGTAGTCTAGTTCACATCACTATGTGATTAACACTTGATGAGTTTTATGTTTGATCATGTTGCTTGTGAGAGAGGTTTTAGTCAACGGGTCTGAACCTTTCAGATCCGTGTGTGCTTTACAAATCTCTATGTCATCTCCTAGATGCAGCTACCACGCTCTATTTGGAGTTATTCCAAACAACTGTTCTACTTGGAGCTATTCTAAATTATTGCTCCATTATATGTATCCGGTCTCTCTACTCAGAGCTATCCGGATAGGTGTCAAGCTTGCATCGTCGTAACCTATACGACGAACTCTTTTACCACCTCCATAATCGAGAAAATTCCTTAGTCCACTAGTTACTAAGGATAACTTTGACCGCTGTCCTGTGAGCCATTCTTGGATCACTCTTGTACCCCTTGACTGACTCATGGCAAGGCACACTTCAGGTGCGGTACACAGCATAGCATACTGAAGAGCCTACGTCTTAAGCATAGGGGACGACCTTCGTCCTTTCTCTCTATTCTGCCGTGGTCGAGCTTTAAGTCTTAACTTCGTACCTTACAACTCAGGCAAGAACTTCTTCTTTGACTGATCCATCTTGAACACCTTCAAGATCATGTTAAGGTATGTGCTCATTTGAAAGTATTATTAAGCATTTTGATCTATCCTTATAGATCTTGATGCTCAATGTTCAAGTAGATTAATCCAGGCTTTCCATTGAAAGACACTTTCAAAATAACCTTATATGCTTTCCAGAAATTCTACGTCATTTCTGATCAACAATATGTCAACAACATATACTCATCAGAAATTCTATAGTGCTCCCACTCACTTCTTTGGAAATACAAGTTTCTCATAAACTTTGTACAAACCCAAAATCTTTGATCATCATCAAAGCATACATTCCAACTCCGAGATGCTCACTCCAGTCCTTAGAAGGATCGCTGGAGCTAGCATACCTTTTAGCATCCTTAGGATCGACAAAAACTTTCTGATTGTATTACATACAACCTTTCCTCACGAAAACTGGTAAGGAAACTCGTTTTGATATCCATCTGCCAGATTTCATAAATACAGCTAATGCTAACATGAATCCGACGGACTTTAAGCATCGCTACGAGTGAGAAAATCTCATCGTAGTCAACTCCTTGAACTTGT